TGCAGTCCACCCAACATAGGACGTAGGAAATTAGCAGTAGGACTCCGCCTCACTCTCCCCTCACCCTCACTCTCTTCCTCTGGCGATGACACGGAATCCTTAATGTCGAGCGAATGTCTCCTTCCGTTTGATAGCGCGGAATTCCCGTCTTTTGTCAGTGAATCAGGACATACTGACTGGCAGTCTCACTAAATTGACGCGCTTGACGTAATTACGGGTTAGTAATTTCCTCGCTCGTAGATAAGCTATAAACAACCGGCCTGCTGCTAATCACTTCTCGCTGTATTGACAAAGGACATTTGCCACAGTCGTAGAGGTCAGGTCGTCGTTGGCGTTTGCTACAATTGATATCGATTATGTTGAACTCACACCGACTACCGTGTGTCAGTATTTCGCAGAAGAGAACGGCGAAAGTAATTAAATATTTTCACACGCTACTTTCCGCTCGTTTAACGAAACAAATTTGCGAGTAATTCAGCTTTTCGATGAATTCACACACAGAGATTTGTGAAGACAAAAAAAAAAAAAAAAAAAATAAAAATAAAGTCTCTCCGGAATCGCGTGTTGCGAATAAACTTTTTCGACTTTGCTCAAGCGGGTTTCGAAACTCTCCTTTTTCCGAATGGCTTTTCAGGGGAGGGGGGAGGAGAAGCGTTTATACTTCGCGAGTCGTAAGTCGCGATTCGCCTCGTTTTTTTTCTTTTTTTTTTTTTTTTTTTTTCTAAAAAACTTTCGATTCCTTTTAGTCACACCGCGTAGAGTTTAGCACTCCTCTATGCGCAGTTTCTCCTCACGACCTTTGAGCAATTCCGTATTAAATCGTTTGCCGCAGTGACACGCATCGTTCATTTCCGTGTTGCAAGGCCGGAATTAAGTGGCGCGCAATTATACCGATTGTCGCATAATTGTGAAAATTGCACAATTTGCAATAACGACTCCATTTGTTATATCGCATCAATTACACTGATCGTTTGTATTTTTTTTTTTTTTTTTTTTCTATTGCGTTGTGAAACTCAGTCACTAACGATTAATACAAGTAGAACGATTGACCTACATTCGTCATTGGGAGTAAAATTTCAAATAAAATGCCAGCTGAAGATAAATTCTTCTCTCTCTCTCTCTCTCTCTCTCTCTCTCTTTACCTTTCAAAAAAAAGTCTCGGTGTATCGCATTAATATTTACGTGACGGGGAAATTTTCAGAATCTCGCGCTAAAACGTCAGCCGTGTTGGTTTAGATTTGAGAGATCGTGGAAGTAACTGACGTGGTATCTCGGGTGGTACCCCGGCTCATTTGGATCTCATCTCTCAGACACCCCGGGGTATAATCCGTTTGAATTACAGTCGTCAACCCCGTTGCCTTCAGACACGCCTTTACGATCTATTCGTCGGGAGATCGAGCACCTGTTAAAGGTTTCCGGGCAGGATGATGCCGTACCGTACGCTTTGGGATTATTCAAAACGCTGACCTTTCGGATACGTGCGGCGCAGCCACGGGCGCGCGTATTTGTCCGAGTTACTTCGGCCTCATTGAAATTTATGATTCCGCAGCGAAAATTACTTTGCGGTCGCCGAAAATGTTTCCTATTTTATGCAGGCTTTAATTTATGGCATTCAACTCCCGCCCATTCGTCACGTTGGCAAAGCGCGCGCGGGGGGGTTTTCCCCGTTATTACATTTAATTTAAGATTATTATTTATTTACCGCGCGCACACCCGTCACGACCTTAAAATTGCTTGATTAAATGTAATTGTTAAATAAACTCAACTTTATATATATTCTCCGTGTTTTTTCTCGGCGTAAAAAAAAAAAAAAAGATTAATATGCGATAAATCTATGACGTTTGAAACCTGTTTTTTTTTTTTTTTTTACGCGTGTAATTTGCGCGCGATACATATCTTTGTGATCACGTGTTATATTAATAATCAGCAAATGTAATATGTGTGTGACAGGCACAACGAGCAAGTATATAATAACGCGAAGGTATAGCGGCTTTATAAATTCCAGCGGAAAGAGCCCTTATGTTCGATATTATCGCGTCGACGAACCCCTTTTTATCGCTCCTACGACCATCGTCGTCGCCTTGGGACGCTCGTAAACATCCCCTTAAAAATATTCAGAAGTTGCTGCCGTTTGTCAAATGGCTGCGAGCCTAGTCAAAGTACGTCGTTACGTAACACGGTATATATGTGTAAATATATGTATATATATATATATATACGCGTATATATAGGATCTCTCTCTCTCTCTCTCTCTCTCTCTGTATCTATCTCTCTCTCTTCCTGTTTCCCTTATTTCTTCGTTTCGCAGCCACGCACTGCGGTTTCGAAGGCTGAGTTGCTAAAGAGGGCGGAAAACAGACGGAAAAGGGCGCACGCTGAAAGAGGGTGCGAGCGAGTGGCGTGGGAGAGATAGAAGGTCGTCGTTGAAAGTTTCAAAGTTATTCCGGAGGTAAATACAGTCAGGTCTCGGCAGTAGCTATTGCATGTTTTATATCGCGCCCTCCCGGCCCCGCTTCCGGGGAAGGAGGCGAAAAGCATTACGTGACGATAATCTCTTTCATTCCAAATTATGATATGCGAAAAATATTCCGAAAAAAAAAAAAAAGAGAGAACGGGCTCGCTCGCGTTTCTCCGTTCCAATTCGAATAACACGGCTGAAAACGACGGCGCGCGTACGTTGCCTTTTATCATGTACGAAAAAAACACACATGTGTGTGTATATATTTAATAAAAATATCAGTATCTCTCTCTCTCTCTTTTTCTCTCGCTGCATCAAATTGTACTTGTCGGATTGAAATTTCACGAAAGTTTGTTATTAGAAATCCTCATGTTTTTGGATCTGCAAAAAAGCTTGCATTTTGCAAGCCTTTCTCTCTCTCTCTCTCTCTCTTTTTCTCTCTGTGTGTGTGAATCAATTTTATTCTTTCTTCATATATACAAATTAATCCGGAAAAGCTGGTTCTTCTCTTTGATTTCTCGCGCGATGCGAACAAAAGAAAGTTTTGAATTAGTGTAAAAAACATTTGCGCACTAATTATATCGCCTGCGTAATTAAATAACAGTACGTAGAAACGAGAAAAAAATGTTTTTTTTATTAAAAGAAAAACGGAGAGATACACATCTGACAACGCGAAGGAAATATGACATAATATATTCATCTAGATGCTTGAAAATTTAAATCGCAGACGATACGGAAGAAGCTATCGGGAGGGAGCGTTGAAGCAAAATAATTGCTCCGACGATAATAATAATTCTGTTACTCGAAGAGGAAAATGCAGGAAGCATATTTCGATATTTTCCGTGTGATATTAAAATCGCCGTCCCTTTGATCGCCATCGACACAATGCAATTTTTATTCTTTGTGCGCGTATACATACACACTCTTCGCGTATTTAATACGTTTCGCGACGGAGAAAGAAAAACAAATACAATAACAAATTCGTATTTATTTTAAGATGTGTAATTGCTGTGCGTAATGCAATGTGATACAATATTGAGCAAATAAAAAGTATCGGAAGATATCATCCATATATCACATCCACAAATATTCGCATTACATCTAGTTGAGATAGTTCATATATCAACAATTTCGCACATTGTTAATGTGTCATTGCATTATCCGCGGTATTTAAATGCGTGCATTTGTATTTACGCACATTTCTTGTATTTTATTTTCTAACGTTTAAAAATCACACAAAGAGAAGGCACTGATTGTTTTATCTGCAAATTAAATTGATCAAAAAATTGTATATATTGTTTATTTATCGATTAACGCACTGAAATAAGCGCACGAGTTGCAATTTGGAGCTGTCTAAAAGATTAACTGTCAGAGAAAGCAAGCACACACAGAATAGTCTTACATTCGAGAAGAATACAAGAGAGAATAAATGAAAGAGAGAGAGAGAAAGAGAGAAAAAAAAAAGAAGAATGGACCAAGAAATTGGGAAGAAAATGATCGCGACGAGGGTTTAGCCCGAGCGTGGAGCCAGGGGCTGTTTTCCTCTCAAAACTTCGGAATTTATTCTTGTGTTAAGCACCGTGTGCGCGCGTCTTGGGAAAGTTACCGCGTGTTTGCTCGCAGTCTCCGACCGAAATAATTATGCCATAATAATGATATTGTTGGTTGAAAATGTAGAGGCTTGTTGGAAATGTCGGAGCTTGTTGTTTGAAAAAATAACAGGTAATGTTCGCTCTCGCCGAGTTATAATTAATGCCGGTTTGGCAAACTTTGCCGAGGCGTATCCCCCCTCTCTCCCCGTGTTGCACACGCACACACGCTCCGTGATAAGCGAATACATTTTATACGCGAGAGTGGCATTTTATTTTCGCGGCGAAAATAGTTGTCACGTCTTTTGACGCGTCGTTTTCTCGACGAAATTGTACAAATTGCGTGTATAAAAAAAAAAAAAATTACTTTTCTAGAAGAATTTTATTAGCGATGACATGTTCGAGGAAATCGACGTTGATGCTTGTGCGAATCGCAAAACGAGCATTATATTAGTGTTGCCGGGGCTGGCACCTGTCATGTGCTAACTATCCTAATCTCTCGTTGCACCGAATGCGCATTTGTAAAGGGAAGCCAAGTGTGGCCCGAAGTCGAAAGTTAGTACCGCGATACGCGCGCCCGTTAGCAACAGCTATAACGCGACGAGACTTGACAAGAGCAGAAGGGGGAGCAGGAAACGGCGAAGGTGTTAACTGCTAACATAATTGTTAATTAGCGCGGTTCGGCCACTTGATTAAACGCGGAGTTTATAACGTCAGTTCATAAACAAACTTGAATACATTTTTGATTGCTTTCTTTATGTTATTTCCGCTAAGCTAAAATCGACGTCATAATTTTATTACGACGCTATTTAATTAGAATTTTTATAAATGATGTGCTGAATTAAGTGGCTGTAATTTATTACGTGAAAGAGCTACTGGGCGCGCGCGCGCGCGCGGCAACTTTTACGGATTAAAACAATTTGAAAAATGGACGAAACTTTCGTCGCGCAAACGCTCGATGAAAAATTCACTCACCTGCACCATTAACGAGATCGCCACCAGCCCTTGACTTTTATGCTGCGCTTCGCTCATGTTGTGATACAGTTCGGCGTTGTAGCCGTAGACCTGGATCTGGCAACAGAAAACCACAAAGAGATTACTTTCCGATGGAATTGCGCCACGGGCGTAACCCTATCTCCCGCAAACGCGATCACGCCGGCAAATTTCAACCTCGCGCGACTAACTTCTCGAGTTGAAACTTTAAATTCCGAAATATTTCGCGTCCGACAATACCTCGCACCACGTTGTTCTCTTCGTTACTTCATTTGTTTTTTTTTCTTTTTTTTTCTTTTCTTTTTTTTTTTTTTTTTTTTTTTTTTTTTTTTTTTTTTTTTTTTTTTTTTTTTTTTTTTTTTGATCGACTTCCCGAACAATTCCCTGCCTCTTGCGCGCGTTAACAATTTCTCGCTTTATCACACTTGATTAAATACTCGATGTATTAAACTTTTCGAGTAATTTTTGTATTAAAATACTTTTATACGACAAAACTATATAAAATAGCCGCGCAAAGAATTACTTGATAAAAGAAACGCTCGAGATCCTTAGATAGACGTTAATTTATAATTTGTAAAAAATTTAAATCGACACAAATACACCATTCTGGAATTCTTTTATCGTAATTTATCTTTCGAAGTTTTAAATTCACCATTATAAAAATCACCACATTCACGGGTTTTTATTCACGGATTCTATTTTCGCATAGTTTTTATATCGGTGATGTAATAAAAATTGAGAAAATCGAATCAACTCGAGAGAATTCTGCAACGTGGCCTGGTTTTCGAGATATGTTCAGCTTCATCTTTTCTCTCTATGTGTGTGTGTGTGTGTGTGTATGCACTAAATAAATATTCTACAAATATTTATCGAACGCGTACCTATTAAATCACATTCTTATACGTGAGTATATAAATCTCGCAACGTCAGAGGCACTGAGATTCTTAAGCGCATACCATACGTGGATGCACTTTTCCTTTGACAGTTTCGTGCACCTTCTTACGTTAGAGTCTTCGTTTTCAGTAAACGGAAATATATATTCTTCCATGCGCTATATATATACATATATACACACGTATGTGTGTGTGTGTGTGTGTGATTTTTTGCCGGAATATTGTACTTTTACGAGAGTAAAATTTTTCTCCGACGTATGTGATTTGCATCTTTGCTTTTAATACACTTTTATACATTTCACGTACAGAAACTAGATCACTAGATATTAAATCTATTGTTGCAACACGTATCGTCGGTTTTATTGCGATTGTTACGTTGTCAGGATAATTTGAAAACATTTAATCACACAAGAGCCGGTGTGAGGGATATAATCTATCATTTCTTTCAGCTTCATCGCGAAATGGATCTATTGTTGGCATGCACGTGCGAGAGAAAAAGAGAGAGAAAGAGAGAGAGAGAGAGAGAGATAAAGAAAAAGCGATGTTCAGTTTATAGAGAAACGAAAACCAAGTCGCGCGTGAAATGTATCTTGTTTTTGGAACATACATCTCGTTTCGTGTCTCATTTCCCGCGAATGTCACCTGCTATAAGTTCTGTATGCTGGATAAAACGCAGAAGAGAGGCACCGACGACGACGACGACGACGACGACGTGTACGTGTCTACTTCGCGAAGAAAAGGATTTCGCCGCGATCGCTTCCTTTGCCGTATCCTCCCCATCTCCTCTCCTCCTCTTCTGTTGTTGTCTGTCGCAGTCTTGTGTATGTGTGTGTTTCTTCTCTTTTGTTTTTCCCGTCTTGTCCTTCTTCGCCGTGTATCTGTTATACTTTCTGCAGATAATGACATTGCCACGGCACTTCCGGTTGCGCCTACGGGGTATCTGAAATGCCCGCGACGACGCGACGAGTTTCTTCAAAGAACCGGCGTACGCCGCCGCTGTACGCCGACGGATAGAAGAATATGAAGAAGGATTGGAGGAGAGATAAAGAACGAAATATATGCGCGGAATATATACGCGAGAAAGAAAGCGATAGCGAAATGGGAAAGGAGAAGGGTGGATTGCCAGGAGTGAGTGTAAATCCACTGCGCCTGATCAAAGTACGAGACTCGTCCTACTAGAAAAGATTCTTCCTTTCTTTTCATTTTCGTAAAATTTTCTCTCTCTCTCTCTCTTTCTTATCTCACCGTTTCTTACTTCTACACAGAACGTAGCGTTTCCTTCATCTTTTCTACCTTTTAGCAGGACATTTTTTTCTCTCGTCGACGTAAAAATCTCTTACAGTCCTTTTATACACGCGCGATTCTACTCCGATTCGTGAATCACACAAGATGATTTATCGATGACGCGCCGTCGAGAATGAGATTAAAAAGAACGTTCTCGTTTAACGCACTTTGTGGAGATGTGAATTTAACTTACATGGAAAATGGATCTAGAAACAGAAATTAATTGCAATTAACATAACGCTGTATGTTAATTAAACGTTCGAATTGGTACTTTCGCACAAGAGAATACACGCTAGTTCACCCACAGAGATTTGCATTACACGCATTCGAGAGTTTGCCAAATGTCCATTATCTTAATTTAAACTTTGGGGGAAAAAAAAAAAAGAAGTACGATAAAAGAGAAGAAAGTTTGTTCAATGAATTCTTTCTGTCAAGTTTGAGAGAGAAAAAGAAGAAGAAGAAATTACGCGAATCAGCAGAGCGACTTATTTCGACGTTTGATTGACGCTTTTTACACGCAAAACTGCGCGCGGAAGTTTCAATATTTATCGCAGGTAAACAGAAGTGGAAGTTGGGTACAAAAACAACAGCGTCTGCGGAGAGTTCAGGGAGCATTCATTCAAACTTCATGAAATTTAATGCGCGAATATATTTCAAGACTATATCTCGGCAACTAGCTTTAAGGAAAATCGAGCACATGCATGTAACCCGCCAACTTTAACCAAGTTCTAACATATCCACCCTCTAAAGCAACGATAATCTTGTTATGCAAACTTTCTAATATATATATATACATTTTTGCTTGCTTTTGTGCAAAAATGTGCGGATAAAGACTCGCTAGTGTCGAGATAACGTATCTATCTCGTTCTTCTTCTCTTTTTTCCCCTTCCGAAATAAATCGCGAGATGATATACGATCCGTAATGTTATTTTTACAGGCACTCTTTTTCATAGCTCGCAGATAAAAAAAAAACGAAGATATTCATTCGGAAGTGATCGCAATATAGTCTCCTCCCTTTTCGCCCCGTATATATATATATATATATATATATCTCGGGGGAGTGATCTCGAACCCCCCCCCCGAATAAAATAAATTCCGCGCTCCTTAGCTACGCGATGATCCCACAATTCGTTGTCACGGCCGGGCAAAATCCTACTTGACGACCCCGCGCTAAGGCGGTATATAGTCGAGCTTTCTGAAATTTGCTACGACCCGGAAATTCGGAATTCACCGCGGGTAACCCGCGAAGTGCCGAGCTGGCCCACTCTTCCTCTAAAGCACCTTCACTTCACGTGTACCATCCGATCTCATCGTATCTTCTGCACTCTGCCTCTCATCCCAAGCCCGATGCCTCTTTCACGACCGCCTCCTTGTGCTTTACCCGCCACTTTGCCCGCCACTAGAGCATAATCACCACCCTCCAAAGACTGTGACGTACCCACAAACACAGCCGCGCATTCGGTAAACGCATTATCCCTTCTTTCAGCAGTTCCGGCGACGGAGTCTCGCCGGTAAAAATTAGTTTTAAGCACATCTCGCGACAATCGCGTCGTTATGAGGCTATTTCGAAACGGCAATGACTAGACTCTACCGTTGCCGGCCTTGCGAAGCGCATTTACGACACTCGAAGAAACTGCTGCGTTCACTAATTCGATAAATAATATAAGATTAACGCAAATATGATAGATAGAAAGATCGAGGTGTAAAAAACCAAAACTTAAAAATTGTGAAACAAATGAAACAGAAATAAAATTGAATCTTAAAAATCAACGCGTCGCGAGTGAACAATTAAATTTGAGATCTGAAATGCGGGCGCGGAGCCTGCATTTTAAATACCACACATTCAATACCACGCAGTCGATTAATTTATATTATTCGACAAATGTTCAATCTGATTTCCCCAATTATAATTACAGAAGATTAAAGCTACTATACGGAAGGGAATTGATATATGCATAACTTTTAACGTTGCAATAAACAAAGCAGGCTGCGTACTGTTAATAAACGATTAGCAAATATAAGCTGTAGCGCTAATAAAACAAGTAGATTAAAATCTGTACTTCAATAGGGAGGTGGGAGGGATTTAATAAGGAAAAGGGAGATTTAATAAGAAGAACGCGCGGTGTGTTACAGTCATAATTGAAAATCGCAATATTGCAAACGGAAGGGAAAGGGAGAGCGACGCGAAATAAATATACTAATAATAATAACAATGTAACATTGCAAAACGCACACTTGATGCTTTACTTTGAGTTAGCTTAGCTTTGCTTGTTTGTCCGCTCGTATGTCTCTGTTCACGTTCAACTCATTCTTCTCATTAACATTTAAACATCGGAGATAAATCGGATCATCGGGAAATGGACGGAATATCATAAATAAAATAGTCGCATTTAAATGACCAGATTAAAACGCCAATTTTACGCTTTGTTCGCACTGATTATCGCACTCTCCCATCTTGACACTTAATTAATATTTCTGTCTCGGCTTTTCTCGCTGTTCTTGGAATATTTTTTTTTTTTTCTACAATATTTCTTACACTAAATACTATTATTATATTATTTAAATAAGAAAAAATTAAATTAGAAAAAAAAATATGTATCTTGCGAAAAATTTTCTCAAATTTGAGCACGTTGTTTCTTAATTTTAGTTTAAAATCGCGTTTAAATCATATGAAATAAACAGATCGACACATCTGAGATTTCCTTGCTTTTGTCACAAAATTATCTTCACGTGCGCAAGTTGCGCCGTCGCTTACGTTCTTTTTTCCTTCTCGCGAGATTCACGAGGACGCATCAAGGATAATTCACGCATTAGGGGGTGCGCTTATGGCGTTCTTGCGGCCTATGGGCATGCCATCACGATTTCTGGCACAATGCGCTATTCTACTATGATAGATATACA